CTGGCACGCAGTGCTGGCCTAGCCCCCGGCATTAGCTTGGCAACTCTGGTAGATGGGCTTGCTCACTCTTCTCCTTAGGAGGTAGCCTGGGATTTCGCGAAATCCGCGCACCCCGCATGCTCCAGGTCTTGGCCCTACGCGGAAGACGACCGCCTCTGCGGAGGAGCCTACAACTGTGGGGCAGCCCAGTGGCCCACCGGGGCGAAGCGGCTCGCGGCTCGCGGCTTGCGTATGGCGTAACGGGAGCCGTGCCCAGGCGAAGCGTCCGGTGGCTACTGCGGCGGTTTGGAGGAGGAGTGGGAAATGGACAGCTGGACGCTGCCGTTGATCCACTGTAGGTCTTGTCAACATTTGCTGTGAAAGCCATGTGTCCAAAATTCATCAAATTCACAATCGTTGGATCATCTTCCAAGACGTGACCACCGAGCTTTTGGCTCTGAAAAGACTGAGGTATGCCCAAGGTCGTAAGTGCCCAGCTCCTGTTTGTGTTCTGAGCCTCAGGACAACCGGCCTGAGCTTCGGCCGGACTTTGGCGATGGCAGGAGTGCGCATTTTTGCGGCATGTGCGGTGCCAGAAGGGCAGTGAGATGCATCTCAGGAACTCAACGGATCTAAACACATCCATTGGTTCGCATCACGGCCAGTGGAAAGTGCGTAGGATGGGAATCCCCTGGTGCGCTGGCAGCGAGCCGAAGAAGTGGGGGCGCCCAGTGCAAACTAAGCGAAGAGACGCAGAGACGAAGAGACGAGGTTGGGCTGTGGCTTGATCTGAGGCTTACGCCAGATGCGGACTATATGAACTTTGACAACATCCTTTGGGCCTTGCTGGTAGTGTTCCAGTGCATGACCATGGAAGGCTAGCATCGCTCCTTGCAATTCTTTCATCCAGTCTCTTTTTGCCAGGATGGACGGACATCATGTACAGAGTTCAGGATAGTTACGACTTCATTGCAGCATCCTCGGCAAAGATCGGCTAACACCTGATCGAGTTTCCAACATTTAACCCCAGTACACCAGGGTGGTCCTGATTTGCGATTCCGCGAGGGGAAGCCGTGTGTTGAGTTTGAAATCTGGCAGTTGCTTTGCAACCTCAATGCAAGCTGTGGGTGGCTTGAACATTGTATTTGTCGACGGTGAGGCTGCCACCATCTACTTCTTCCTTCTGATTCCGGCACTTTTGCCTAGAATTCATGGCATGAGCGAGGTCTGAGGTTTGCAGGTCTGCGGATCTACAGTTGGCTGGTTGTTGCAGTCTGCCAGTCGTCCCATGAGCGTTTTGTGGCCAGCTTACCTCCTTCTTCCTGCTGAACGTTGCCCTGGCCGTGGTAGATGAGGTTCGGAGAAACTTTCACTGTTGCAGACTTTTGACCTTATGACACTCGCCCCTTTGCCTGTCCCTAAAATCCAGTGTTTTGCAATTCATCCAAGAAGACACGTTTGTTGGCAGCTGCAGAGAAGACTTTGATGGCGTTGCGTTCTGGACTGATTTGGCACAGGCCAGAGATGACTTTGAGAAGAAGGAGGACCATATTCTCGGCTGAGGTATGTCGTCACAGCATCATAGCTTGACGATTTGACCACTTCTTTCATCAGCTCATCATTTTCAGTTGCTGTTTCGCTCCACCATGGTCTCAATCAAGAGCTGGTCATGACGTGGCCAAGCTGTTTTCGGGCACCTCTCCAGGAAGAGAAAGAGGATGATGATGGGGGAGATTCGTCAGCGCAGGATGGAGGCCCCCAAGCACCGTTTTTCCAAAATGGCGAACGTACTGGCAATGGCTGAGGCTTTTTTGGAGTCAGTCCGATAAGCACAGTACCGAATTCGCTCGTGCGTTCGCGGCTCTGCCACAGTGTCATCGCATTCCTGTCAGAAGCGCTGCGAAAGTCCCTCCTGGGCGAAGATGATATTATGGACCGGGCCTGCAGAATTCTCGGGATCTGTCACATTGAGCCAATTCTAGCAGGCTTCAGGCAAGCGTAGTTTGCTGGATGGAGCCTTGTCCCGCGCTTCCAGGACTTTGGAGACCAGCCGCCGTGGTGCGACTGTGCTTTGGTGTGAGGGTCTCAATTAAGAGACGTCAGTGAGGAGATTTGAGAGCTCTCTTTGTGGTGCACATTCGGTCGGCTTAGGCACACTTGCCGTCACATAGCCTTCAGCGACTGGTTCATGAACGTCATCATGCTTTTTATCGTGAGCAATGCATGGAGCCCAGTTCTGTCTCCGCTTCTGCATCTGAAGGATGTGCTTCCTTCAGTCGCTCGATGAAGATACATAGGGAATGCTTGAACACCTAAGATCTGCAAGCCTGGAATGCCAAGGTCATCACAATGATGATGGAGAGTTTCCCACCAACCATGGGTCAGCAGGACCAGAAGCATTCAGATTGCACTGGGCAAGTTGAGCCGCTGGAAGGCAAACGGACAGTTTCCTCTTCGTCAGGAGATCCTCGATAGTTTGGAGATGACGTTCCTTGTGGCCTTCTGTGTGGAGATGGCAGTGCTGCTGATGGCTCTAGGCATCCAGTTGCTTCGGCAATGTGTTCTGATTGTTGCTGCCCTGGACTTGAAAGCACTGGGATGATGCTTGCTACTGCCAACACTCAAATGTTGAACTCTGATTGTTATTTCCTTGTGTGTCTAACATGCAGCCACTTGCAACTCGTGCAGGCCCCCGGCAGTCAGATGCCCAGAGCGAGTTGCAGTATGCGAAGGGATTTCTGATACGAAGCATCCAGTTTGTTGCCTTGTGTAGAACATGCCGCAAAGCTCACAGTTTTTGCAGCTTTCGAGTCAAAGCACCTGGAACACATCCGCCCCATGTCGCACCAACTCATCGCGAGACTCAGGTACTTCACCAATCCCGTGACGGCCTTTGACGGGACGATCGTGATCACCTCCGTCGCGCAGGACACTTGAAACGTGACACGTGACAGGGAACGCACTCGCGCCACAAGAGCCACAATCAACACCCGTGTAGATGAAGGTTAGCCAGGGATGCCACCAACCATAAATAGCCGCGGCCGCCTTCTGAATTGTTTGCATGGTGGCTAGACCATTTCAATACTGGGTTTTGATGACTCACGAGACGCTTTTGCCGAAACCCGCTCCGGCCGCAGGCCTGCGTGGGCCAGGCGGGGCCTTTGACGGCCCTTCGCACCTTGCGGTTGTTCCGGGTGCGCCGGCCTCGTTTTCGGAGCCGTGTTCAGTCGGGGAGAGCGACAGCGATCGCAGGTACTGAACAAGCTCGCGAATCGCTGGCCTTCCTTCAAGGTTCTACTCAAGGCCCACAGAACATGCTTGGGGAAAAAGTCCTTCACGCTTGTGTGCCGGCTGGTTGATGATGCATCGATGCAGTCTCAGTGAGCTGGAGCATGTCAAGAGCGGGGAACATTTGACCTGCCTATCATACATTGCAACACAGGTAAAACGTGCATGATATCAATCAGACCTTTGATTTCTCAAATTGCGTGCCAAGTGTCAAGCAATTTGTGATGCAGGCCATGGTTCTGACTGCCATCTCATTGAACTACTGGCTCGTCCTTTTCGCGCTGCAAACCCAGCCAGCCAAGAAGCTATGCTCACCAAGATTGCGAGGAAGGTTTCGCGTTTGGATTGTCCGTGGCCAATGTCACAAAGGCAGACAGTGCTGTTCCAAGGCTAGTGCTCTACATCTGCACCCTCATGGCGCAGACCTTTTTTGCCACGGAGCTCGGGGTGCCTTTGCGGGGCATGTTGGGAAGGTTGCTTTGGACTTTCCAGAAAAGCCCCTGCTTGTGGACACCAGCTCATTTGAGGTGTTTGGCGCACGACCTGTAGACATGTGTGCACTTTAGTTTTGGGGTTGTCTGATACTCTGGCTAGGAGTTTCACTTCAACGATCCGGACTCCTTTGACTACGCCTTGGCCTCAGGTCTTTCTCAGACTGCCCAGCGCCACAAGGGGAAGCCAGCTGCGAGTGTCAAGTTTTCTAGAGATGAGTAGTTAGCTTTGGGCAAAAGCCGTACCGAGCTTCCTCACACGCTGCAATCTTGGCATCCCTTCCTGGCTTGATGGAAGGTGACGAATCGCGGGGAGTTTTGGTGCCCTGGCACGGAAGGGCTGGATCCTGCCTATCGACAGGACCGAGTTTCTTCCATTAGGCCAACAACAAGCCAGGTGTGCCAGCATGACGCAGTGTTTCGATACGCACTTGCGCAGATACAGATTGAAGCCGCGTTCTTTGAGGGACAGGTATGAGAGCCTCTTTGACGGATGGGTATGAGAGCTTGATGGAATTGAGGGAGGTTCTCATTGTGCAAAGCTTCTTGGATGTTGCAGCATTGTTCTGCCATTTTGCGAGGACTGCATCCCCCGTGCGCACTTTGACACCTTCTTGTGGGCGCTAGCAGGGCTTCCAAAATGCTTGCGGCAGTTCAGAGAGCAGCAGCTTTTGTGACCGAAAATTTGGACTTGCAAATTGTCTTGCCATTTGGACGCTACTTGTGCTGCTAAGGTCACCATCTTCCAGATTATGACAGGATGAACTGCAGACAGCGAGCAAACGACTTCAGCACGTCAAGTGCTCTTATCCCCTTGTCATACAGATCCTTCACCAAGTCCCACTTGGTGTTATGCCTCCTGCATTGACCCGATGCAAGTGAAGTTGCGCGCAGCTGACACACCATGTTTGTGTTCAATGGTCCAGCACCATCTTGGACCAATACATGCACTCCTCAACGCGTTTGCTGGCAATCTGACATACCAGGCAGGTGAAGGGTCAACCACGTGAGGAGAGAACTGGAACACAGTCATGTATGCGGGCATGCGTGCAGCGGGCCGGGACCCCAGGTAGGTGTTGGTGTGGCAACAGCCGCTGCCCTTTGGCCCTTTGAGGTCCAGGATTCTGCCTGCTCTTTGCACTCCCGTCATGTTGTTGGCGTTTCTACTATGGCATCTCAGATCGGTGACTTGATGGAGGTACTTCTGATCATGTTCGGCCAGACACTGTTCCTCAGCTTGAGCCTCAACAGTTCTTTGGGCAGGCGGATGGTGCTAGTCGGTTCAATCTGACTTCAGCACCAGAGAGCAACTGAATGCAACATACCTTGACTCCTGAATGCACACGCACACACACACACACACTTGCGGTGACATGACATGCATTCAATGTTGCGAGTCCCAGGTCTATTTCTGTCGATGCTGATGTCCAAATTTGATCACGTCAAGGAATCCCAGCAAGTGGTTTGGTGTCATGCTTCTAAAACTTTGAACAGTCTTGCATGTTGACTGCCTGCAAAGAACTCTTGCGACAGTTCGCTTGCAGCCATTGTGCAGGACACGCTGAACGCAGAACTTGATCGTCAGCAGACGGCAGTGGACCTACCTTTTTAGCAAGTGGCTGACTGGCGATGAAAGAACTTTATTGCGAGCGTTGCTTTCATTTTCAGCGCCAAGAGCTTTCTGAAGTCCGGAGAGCCAGTAACAGGTACAGAGACTGCGGAAGAAGTCGATTGAGTCGAGGCGGCCTCAAGTCGAGCGATTCGAGCTATGCTGGAAGATGGTTTGCAGTTGTTTCAGAAGCCTGTTTGTTGCAGTTTGCAGTCTACCCAAGTCTTGTCCAAGGCCTTCTGGCTTGAGTGATGAAATGACGGCGTACGGTGTGGTGGCCCAGCATTCGTTGTGTTCATGAGATTGTACCATCTACAGCAGCAGTTAGCCCTCTTTGCGCAGGCGCCAGTAGCAGGAGCAGGATATTCCAGCCAGCCCGAACCATGCTGGATAGCATGGCAAGCTTCAAGACGGCTTTGGAAGACAGGCGCGCTGTGCGTTCACGCTGGTCTTGATTAGGAGCAGTGGCTTTTGAAGCTTCAACCTCTTGCCTGGAGCAATTGCACTGCAATACATCCAACACTGAGACAGTGAGGGTGTTATTTTGGCAGGAAGGCCTGGCCATCAGGCTATTCTTGGCTTGGGCCACAGTATGAGGCATTTGGATCGATCAAGCAGAGCTGTGTTTGCCAAGTTCGATACTTGGGCAGCTGAGGTTCATATTCTCTCCGCAGAATCCCATCAGAAGACTATGCAGGTATGTATTGAAGGTGGAGGCCGCTAGATCGCGGCACGTGACACATGCAAGTCCGGTCAATCTTCAGCGGAGAGCTGGGTCACGGGACCAAGGGACGCCGATTGTTTAGGTTCAGGTGCAAGGCCCTCTTTTTGGTAGGTCATTGGTTGTAGGCATCGAAGTGCATGAGGGCTGTGTAGTGCGCCGATTTTTTTGACCGAGCACGCACCGGAGGTGGTCGGACGCTGCGAGTTCAAGGTGGGAAGAGACAACAGAGATAGAGAGGGCGGTGGCGGTGGCGGCGGCGGCTTCAAGGCTCGCAGAATGGAGCACAGGGGATTTGCAGCACATTGATTTCCCAGATTTGGAAAGCCCGTTTTTTGTCCCTTCTTGTTTTTTGACCATTCAAGTCAGGTCTTCGACAATTTCATCCTCCTTTGCATCCTCTTCTCCACGGCTCGGATCATACTGCCATTTTAGGCAATGTTTGTTGAGGCACGTTGGTATATTCAAAGCATGAAGAGACTCACTCGACCTTGCATACCTGCGCCCGTGCATTCCATGAGGCTCGATTCAAGGTGTAAGGCAGCCATTCGCTTTTGTGGCTCCGGACATTCTGCTCCGAGGTCACTATGGCCATTGACTCGCCCCTGGCTGATCCCAAGCTGCCCATCACGGTCTTTGTGCGTGCAGCCGACGAGGCCCCGCACGCGTGCGTCGTGCGCGGATTGCTTTGAATGGAAGTAGTGAACAAGCAACAGCCGTGTCAACAGACATGTGTACAGCTATGCTAATAGCTATGCCAACAGCTGCATTGGCAACAGCAGAGCATCCCAGGGAACAGAAACACACACATACACACACGACACCTACGTCCACAAATTAATTGCAGTACTCCAGGCAAAGCAACAGCAGCAACAGATAGAAGGTAAATTGTTTCCGGCTACAACCACCAGATACACTCTCTTGAATTCGCAGGTTTTCGCAGTGATCTTCATCATAGAGATGGTGATCAAGCTGATTGCTTTGGGCCTGATTTGGGGCGGGGAGCCTCATGTGCCACAGCTATGTCTAGTAGAGGACATGGGCTTGGGTGGGAAGCTTGGTCCAGCCAACCGATTTCTTGAACGTGAAGCTCTTGAAGAAGGAGGGCTTTGTGACAAGGTCCAGACGCCTACCTCAAGAGCTCTTGGAACTGGCTGGATGGGGTGGTCGTGATGGTGTCCATCATCAACATGGCTGCTTGCCAAGCAGTACTTGTTGGGCGCAAACGTTCATGAGCTTCCAAGCTACTGAACATGGAGCTCATGGCCGAGGCGAACTTGAGCCAGAGCGGCTTCCTGAAGACTTTGCGCATTCTGCGCAGGAAGCCCAGGAGAGGCGTGAAAATATGGCAAGGGGCCAGGTAGCCAGCAAGGCAGTACGGCAAGGCAACTTCTTGCTTCTCGTTGCTGTTTGAAGTCAGTTCTTGGTCAATGTAAGCCCTTGGGCCCGATGCATGAACTTACATGCAAAACTCCAAGACAGGGTTTTTCAGATTGACGGCCCGCAGGGCAGTTTGGTCCAGAGCTTTCAAGCCATGCAACCAGTTTTCAGCTCTTTGTGGCCCCCAGGCCCTTGATTGAGCCCAGCTTCAAAGAGCCTTCCGGCCTGAGGTGCCTTCCGACCGCTGCGCGTGATTTCCCGGAACGAGAACCTGAAGGTGGTGGCAGGGAGCTCAGGGACCCGAGCGAGAGGACATTTTCTGGGCTGGATTGAAGTACAGGATGGGTTGCGTGGTGAGCACCTTGACATGGAATGCTAGGGATGACGGCTGTGCTGAGAGCAATCAGCTCGTGCTGATTGTTTTAACCCGGACAAAAAAGCAGCTTCTTCTTCTTCTTCTTCTTCTTCTTCTTCTTCTTGTGGTTTGCTTTGATTTGACTTGGTCGCCTTTGTGTGAATCAGCCGGACATCAGGTGCAGACAATCTTCACCTCCATGTGCCGAGCCCAGCTTTGGACTAGCAGTTGCAGCCCGCTTGCCTTGACTCCAAGGCCTCACCTTCTGACGCTGGTGATCGTGGCCATGCCCCGGCCTCAGTAAGTTGTAGGCTGATATGGCCGTGGTTGTCAAAACCAATGGGATCCCATTTTGGGATAGGTGCACCTCCCAAATTTTAGAACCCATTTTAGTGGGGATTGGGATGTTCACTGGGGGTACGGAAAATGACCCATGGCCATATGTCCTAGTGAGCCTCGCCATCATAGCATGGTATGCTGAGGGTGAGCTTGAAATGCTTGGACTCTGACACAGTTTCATCCATAATCCGGATGCTTTCATGCTTGGCGACTGCTGTCCTGACTGCCTTGTTTGACAGATGAGCTACGGCAATGCCGCGGTTCAAGTCAGCAATCGCTGCCGAGGTTGTTCTTGTTGATCTTCGCGCTATTTGCCCTGTCTTACTTGAATGGCGCTGTGCTCAGCTATCGCAGAAGTGGCCTTCCATGTTGATCGATATCTTTTTCGATTTCATGAAGCGACGTACACAGAGAGAGAGAGAGAGAGAGAGAGTGAGTGAGTGAGTGAGTGAATGAGTGAGTGAGTGAGTGAGTGAGTGAGTGAGTGAGTGAGTGAGTGAGTGAGTGAGTGAGTGAGTGAGTGAGTGAGTGGGAGAGAGAGAGAGAGAGAGAGAGAGAGAGAGAGAGTGAGTGAGTGGGAGAGAGAGAGAGAGAGAGAGAGAATCGCTCGATCGCGTTTGTCTAGGCACTTTCTACTACTGCGACCTCTCAACCGCCCCTGCATTGAGACGGGAGCTGGGCCAGGCAGCTGCAGCTTGGCAGCTTGGCGTAGGTTCTGGCAAGTTAGTGGGTTGAGGACTTCACGACTCCGCTTTGCATGCCGACGGCCCTGGACAACGTCACAGTGAGGGCCTTTGGCGCCAAACAAATTCCGACAAGAGGGGGGGCATTTGAAACTTTCGAAAGGTTTCCGGCGGCTTGCAGCATGGCAGCTTTGATGCCATGAACTACGCGTGGGCTCGGGGCCCCAGGGCCGCATGGGCCGCATGGGATCATGAGTTGAGTTTTCTCGGGCCGCTAGCTTGGTCTTCTTGGTTCCGTTGGCGCAGGTGGGCAACACTACAACCTGTCCCAGCTCCCATTCGGTGGCTTGGGGCTTGGAAGTGAAGCCATTCATGCAGCACATCTTCACCGTGTGAGGCGTACCAGCGAGCAACAGCCGACACGCCATACTCCCAGTGTGAAGTGTCTACATGGCTTGTCACTCTTGATGGCTGAGGCCCATCTGCATTGGCCGATGTCTCCCTGAGGGCTACTCCAGGCAGGGTCACATGAAATATTACGAAACCTGAAATACCATCAAAAACCGAACTTCACCGGAACTCTTAGTCAATATGTTTGCGGATTATCCCAAGAACTTGGCAGATGTACTAGAGTCACAAACTCTGTGGAACCAAACCTGGCACAGTGGCAGTTTTCATATATGCAGCTCAACAGTCCAAGGTACATGCAGCCGGAATGGCTCTGCCCCAAGGCACATTCACTGACATGTTTGCCGTAGCAGCTACGGGCAGCTGAGAGATCAGTGGGAGCGTTGGCTCACTGGGGCACGAAAGCCAGGCGTTGACCATGGCTGAAGAGCTGCCGGCGGTATGTGGTGCCGACGTGGTGAGGAGCCACGCGATTTCTGCGATCGCGAGCCCAAAGCGGTTTTCTTGGGGCGATGTCAGATGTCACGTCGAAGCTTGAGGACCGTCTCTGCGGAAGAGCAGCGTGGCACGGCGCTGAAATCTTTGAGCAGAGGATGTGTTGCATACTGAAACATGGCGTCGTCCGGGGCTTGTTGCACTTTGTCTGACCTGCAGAGGCCTTGACTATGTCGACAAGATGAGCCATGCCCCAAGGTTTTTCAAAGTCCATGTGGAGCTTGGTTGGAATCCATCAGGGCATGAAGACGGGGGTTGAGCCAGCAACGCAGCCCAACAAACTCTGGCGTTTTGTGAAGCTCCGTGTGGCCCTCGCCCAGCTCGGCTGCTGGTATTGCCCTGCGGCGGCAGCACTGTGAATGCTTCGGGCCACCTGGTGCCGCAACGCTTGGGGTATTGGTGAGAACGGGGTATGGGTCAAAATTAAGCCGCCAGGAATTGGACTGCATATTTTTCAGTCCATGTTTCCATTTACCAGGGCTCCATTTTGGCTACATATTTTTGACCCACAACCAACGGATGGCCCTCAGACGCTTGGGTTTCATTCCGTGAAAACAGTCTGACCTGCAAGGGCAAAGGCTGGGAGGTAGATCATAGGCATGCGGGGACGGAGGTCAAGCACCCTGTCCAAATTGTTCATCAGGGTTCCGCTGGGCATGTGTGTACGCGGCAATCGGCTGCCAATGTGGCAGGCGACTTTCTCTTTTTCTGAGATCTCTTCAGGTCAAAACCAATGGTACCATTTTGGGGTTGGTGCACCACCGATCTTAGTCTATTTTAGTGGGGATTGGGATGTTCACTGGGGGTACGATGTGTATTTTGACCCGTGGCCATATTGGTGAACGAGAGGATCACCACGCTGCGAGAGGCCTCGAGTGCCATGCGCCAGGTGCATTCTGGCAAGGCCATGAGCTGCGCGGACATCTTCTGCGAGGAGGTGCTGGGAGCTTCAAAGCGAACGGGTCACCGACTTTTTCGGGTCGGGACGGTCGGGTCGAACAAGTTCTTTGAGGTTGTACAAAAAAATCAAATCCGGTCTAGGGCTGAATTGGAGAGAGAGATGGGACTTGCCCTCATTCTACCATGCCCATCAGGGTAACCCTATCATTCGATGGACCCGTTTCAGAGAGATCCTTTTAAGTTTGTCTTTTTTTTTTGGTGCCAGCTCCAATCTGCCAGCGTGGATTCATTGCAGATGAAGTTGAAGGCAAGAAAAGGCTTGCCATGTTCTGAAGTTTCTGACAGGTGGATGATGAGACCAAGACTCGGTGCAATGCTGCCTGCAAGAAGGCCCGGGGACTCACCAGCGAGAGAGGACACTTGCGCTGAATGCTGGTGCCTGAGGCGCCCCACTTTTGTGTGGATGCCTGTGGCCCTGGGCTGGAAGGCAGCAAGGGCCTCAAAAGCCGTGACGTCCTGAACTTGGGAAAATCAATCGATCGGTTCACCTGAAAGAACTTGGATTTTGGGTTCACCAGGGAGGCATTGGACAAATGCCGCTTGCCCAGGTGCGCAGTGTGAATCTTGTCAGATCGAGTGTGAAGCGCAGTGCAGGTGCCAGCCGTGACAAGTTTTGCTTTGGGCACTCGATGGAAGCCTTTCCATGCACTGCATTAAGTTATGACAACTGGGATGAAAAGGAAGAATCACTATCGGGCGTCAAGGCTGGCCGCCGGCCAGCCGGCTGGCGTATGTTGGCTCGTGAGCCGGCTGAAGATTCTCTTGCAGATCGGAGATTTGGATGTGGCTGGTTTTCCCGGCAGAGTGGAGTTGGCGCCATCGGCAAACTGCCACCAAGCGCCGAGTGTCAATGCCACACAAGTGTTCTTTTTGGAGTCTTCAAGCCGTGCCAGGTGCCCTGAATTCTGCGAAGGTCTGGTCAGGGATGCCGCTTTGTGCCTAGAACAAGGGTCCAGGCAGGGGACGGCAATCGCTTTCATCTTGAGCACGCGCGTGCGCGCCGAGACTGCTTGCCTGTTGTGTTGAGAGACCAGCGCAATAGAGCCTCACTTTCGCGATGAAACGACAACTGTTTGGCAGACAATTAGGTGGCACTTTGCACTGTCCGCGCTTGGAGGATTTCAATTCAAGGTGTTGTAGCAAGTAGACTTACTGGTGCGCCAGTCCTTTCACGATTGTTCTTCCATTTGGCTGGCCAGGTGGTTGCCAAGTATCAGCCAGAGCTTCGACAACATATGGTACTCCATGCCGGCAGCTCGCGATTTCATGTTCCATTCATCATTCATTAGGGCTAGAGTCCGGCGTGCGTGCAATGTTGGGTGTCTTTTTCTTTTTGACATCTGTGTGATGGAACTTTGAGCATGGTGGCGTGGCGTGTTCTGCCCATCACGCACAACCTTTCAAGGCTCACCCTCTTTGAGATCTCCACGACGGAGGGCTGGGTGGACGTGATGTACTCTGCTGCGGACTCCGTGCAACCGTACGTGGCTTCGGTTGCGCTAGAACCTTGTGTTTGGACTGCAAGCGAGATGGTCAGGGGCCGTAAGTGGCTAGATGTGGCACTCGGGCAAGCCGTGAAGCCAGCCTGATTGCGACCAGGTGCAGCCAAAGCGTGATCATAACGAAACGCCGCGCTCCCAGCACAGGCACTTCAATCGCTGGATTTCGCCTTGAGATGAGTGGTTTGCCATTCTCAGGCTATGGGTACCTTTCTTTATGCTCTACATCTTCTTCAGCAATATGCCAGAGACAAAGCTTGTTTCGGTTGGTCCGTTAAAATGCCCTGTTCCGGCATTAGGTTCATCATCAACCTCAGCGTGGGTGTGATCGTGGACAAGTTTATGTCACAGAAGCAGGCCAACTCTTCAGTGCGCCAATCGGGTGGACCAAAACTCCGGCGGTGGGTGTGGCTGAAACTCAGGGACCGTAAATGGAAGCATTGACGTCTGAACATCTGCCGTTTTCTTTCTTTTTTTGCATTGAGCCGTAGCCTTGTGGGGGTTGTCATAAGATCCTTTGCATGGGATGACCATTGGGGAAACCACCGAAAAAGTTGACCTTCCTCACTAAATTGGAAAAGTTACCCATGGTCATTTGGGGGCCGAAGGGAATATTGATCAATCCCCATGCCTGAAACAGTTAGGCATGCATTTGCTGCAGTCATGCAGCTTTCAGCAGCACAGAGAGTCTTTGCAGTGGTCCAGGTTGTTCGTCTGTTCCATCCACGCTTCAGGTATGTCTGACTGACCCCCAGAAGAAGTGGGTCAACTGCATCACAAGTCTTTATGCAAGGCTGGTCCACAACTGCTTCAGGAGCCTTTGGCCACTACAGTGACATATTTCCTTTAGACTGTTCTTGCGGACATTCGACTGGCTGTCCAGGCGGCAGATTGTGACCCTGACGCCGCCCTTGCACATTGTGCATTCTACATCACAAAGTACTGAGAAGATCTTCATGCTTTGAGAGCCATCGTTTCCAGCATTCTGTGCCAGTCAAAATCATGCGGACATCCAGACGTCTTTTGGCCTTTAGTGTGCAAGAGCTGTTCTGGGTTCAATGCGCGTCTTTGGCCAGGGACTTGCATGAGAAGCCAACGATCAGACGGAAAGTCTACGAATTAGTGCCGTGCAGAGTTCGAGGAGAGCGAGAGAGAGAGAGAGCGAAAGACCGACGACATAGCACTGCAGTGCTCAATGACTCGAGTGCGAAGCTGGGATGGTTTCACATGCAAGGTGTCCAGTCCGGCCTTTGAGACCACCATCATGGGGGCGATCGTTGTGAACACGCTTTTCTTGGCCCGCGCCTCTGAGACTGGTTTATTTGTCGGGATGTTCTCGATCCCAGGCCGCTAAGATCACTCCCACGCCATTCCCGGAATGGGAGCCTTTCCTGGAAGCGGTGAACTATGCCGGAAGCTCAGATGCCAGAGGGGCACTGAGCACATGGCTCATATGCATTTCGAGTCAAGAGAAAGACTCGTTCCAGTGAATTTGCTGGCTTGGCAATGAGTACGTGCGGGTTCATTTCCATTGCGAGTCAAGAAACACATGCTCTCGTCATGCGGGAAGGGATAGCCACCGAGATCTTTGCGGGAGTCTTCACGATCGAGTGCCTCCTGAAGCTCTTTGCCCTGCACGGCAACTACTGGGGTGCGCCGCTGTAGCCGGAAGTTTTTTGCAAGACTTGACCGCATTCACCTGGTCATGGGGGTTGGTCTCAAAATAGGGGTACCCCCAAAATGGATCGTTTTCCCTGGTTTCCCTTTAAACCAACCCAAAAAGGGTACCCTCAATAAAAGACACCTGAAAGCTCAGTGCCAAAGTGGTGAGCCTCCCAACCTCGCATATGTACCTAGAAAGTACAGAACGGCGAGCCCTACGCTCTGTTCAACTGAAGAACGTGAGTTGTCGACCCCGCCGTAGCCCCAAATGTTTGCCAGCAACATGGGAGAGTCCCTCCCGCCCCCAGCCCCGCGAATGCAGTTTCGAGAGCAAAGAAGGCAGATGATCGATACAGCTGTTATTTTTTTCACATCTTTATGCACACATTGAAGCCAGCGGTGCAAGTTTTGGCCGTTTGAAGTGACGATCGGCTTGAGGGTTGACTACGCAGGGGATCGGTGGAACGTCTTCGACTTCAGCTGTGTGGCCGTCTGCCAAGCGTCAGGATTTCGACGGAGCCGAGTTTGGGGTGGTTTTCATGGCCCCCGCATTGTGAAGGCAACTGTGGCTGCGTCAAAATAGGGGCACGAACCTTTTTCGTGATGGAAACGAAAAGGATTCTCACCACCAGGGGTTCAGTTGCGAAACAGACAAGCAAAGCGGGATGGCTGGGTCTGCTCTTCTTTTCCCTGTGAGCGAACTTGCAAAAGGGCCACTTCAGTTTCAGCAAGGCCTGAAGCCTTGACCATGTTGGAACCAGAAGTGAGCGGTGGAACCAAGGGTGCTGAGCCCCTATTTGTGCCCCACGCATGAGAGATGCACGCTATGGAGCAGCGAAGAAGTGTAGAACCGCTGGCAATATGTCTGGCAAATATGGCAGCAAGATCATGGCTCAGCGGTAGGAATCGTGTGGCAGCTTGGGGGCCTAGGTTGCCACGTTGGCCGGTATCATCATCAGCAAAGCCTCCAATGTCGGGAGTCTCAGAGATGGTATTTTCAGGACCTGCGGCCTGCAACCTCTGACTGCCTACTGATTTGGTCCCATATCATCCAAGGTGCGCATTGACCCCATCATCCAGGTCATCCGCATCTTCAGAGTGGCGGCAGTCTCAGAATCAACCGAGCCTTGTGCCTGTGCTGACACCGGTTTTGCCCAGATTCCCTTTGTAACAGGCCCGACTCTTCCGGTTGCTGCGGTTCCTGAAGGGCCTGACTGCCTGGCTCGCTTCGGTCATGATGTGGCCTTGACGTCTCAAGTCCGCGGCATGCAAACCTTTCAAATGCCCAAACACCAAAGCGCCGCAGCATTGACCATATGTCATAGCCGTTTTGGCCAGGAACAAGATCTTCATGGCACTACTCATGTCGCTGCCAAAGCTCATGAACGTGCTTCTGATCCTGCTATTACTGCTGATTTTGTACAGCAGCGGCCCAAGATCCAGATGCATTTGTTTCTTGAACCTACTTAAAAGCCTCAAGGCAAGGTCGCTCCAAGAAGCAGGCTTGCTAAGGCATCTTGGGCGTGAGCCTTTTTGCCACCACCAAGCTGGGAGACACGCTGAATGTGCACGCGCCCTTCCGGCTGAGTTTACCACATCTTGAATTCGCATTCACACACGTTTGGCCATTCAAGCCCGAATTCATGAAGTTTGGTTGACTGGATGGAAAGGCTGACAAGCTCCAAGCTGGCAGGAACTTCCAGAACTTTATGCTGGCATTCATCACGCTCTTCCGGGCTTCCACGGGTGAGGCCTTTCTGCAGAGTTTTCCATGTAGCTTGATGTCTTGACGATTTGTGCTTGTCCGGAGGGAGCGGGGGAACACACCTCAAGTACTTGAGATCTTTGGTTCGAACACTTGGTATGGTCCGAGCTCTGGCCAAACAGGCCTGGAACGAGATCATGCATGAGCTCTCAAGCTCGGAGGCGATCTCGATCGATCGATCCGCATGGAAGCCAAATCCGTTCGTCCTCCCGAGGTGGAGCTGTACAAGTTGGGTGTGTGGTGCTCCCCGAGCGACCTCTTCGACACGGAGACCAAGTTCGAGGCGCGAACTCGTGACCGGCCAGAAAGCAGAAAGCCAACCGGATGATTGCAAGGGAGATGCGGTTGGCCCCCGTTTTCGTGTTGTTGTTTTTGTGTTTGGCAGGTCCTGAAGGAGAAGTGCCTCATTGATCATCCCAACAGCTGCGCAGCACCCCACAGCCTCGGGGTGGGAGAGATGCCACTGAGAAGTGGTACTGTTTTTGAGCAGTGGATGTGCAAGAGAGTTGCTTTGGTGGTAACGGTTTGACAGCGTTTTGGCGGAGAAAACTGCCAGCTGCGTACTGGCCCGTCCAATCGGATACGGTTCTGCCGTCTGTCATCGGATACTCTTAGACCCGTGAATCACGTACTCGCGACCCGCGCACTCATCGATGATTTTAGGGTCGGTTTAAGGTTGGTTTAGGGTTGGTTTAGGGTTGGTTTAGGGTTAGTTTAGGGTCGGTTTAGGGTCGGTTTAGGCTTGGTTTAAGCTTGGTTTAGGGTCAGTTTAGGGTGGGTTTAGGGTCGGTCTAGGGTTGGTTTAGGGTTGGTTTAGGGTTGGTTTAGGATTGGTTTAGGTTGGTTTAGGGTGGGTTTAGGGTCGGTTTAGGGTCGGTTTAGGGGCTTGGTTTAGGCTTGGTTTAGGCTTGGTTTAGGGTTGGTTTAGGGTCGGTTTAGGGTGTTTAGGGTTGGTTTGGAGTTGGTTTAGGGTTGGTTTAGGGTCGGTTTAGGCTTGGTTTGGGGTTGGTTTAGGTTTGGTTTGGGGTTGGTTTAGGGTTGGTTTAGGTTTGGCTTAGGCTCGGTTTAGTCTTGGTTTAGGCTTGGTTTACGGTGGGTTTAGGGTGGGTTTAGGGTCGGTCCAAGGTTGGTTTAGGTTTAGTTTAGGGTCGGTTTAGGGTCGGTTTAGGCTTGGTTTAAGCTTGGTTTAGGGTCAGTTTAGGGTGGGTTTAGGGTCGGTCTAGGGTTGGTTTAGGGTTGGTTTAGGGTTGGTTTAGGGTTGGTTTAGGTTGGTTTAGGGTGGGTTTAGGGTCGGTTTAGGGTGGGTTTAGGCTTGGTTTAGGCTTGGTTTAGGCTTGGTTTAGGCTTGGTTTAGGGTCGGTTTAGGGTCGGTTTAGGGTGGGTTTAGGCTTGGTTTAGGGTCGGTTTAGGGTTGGTTTAGGGTTGGTTTGGGGTTGGTTTGGGTGGGTTTAGGCTCGGTTTAGGGTTGGTTTAGGGTTGGTTTAGGGTTACTTTAGGGTCGGTTTAGGGTCGGTTTAGGCTTGGTTTAGGCTTGGTTTAGGGTCAGTTTAGGGTGGGTTTAGGGTCGGTCTAGGGTTGGTTTAGGGTTGGTTTAGGGTTGGTTTAGGGTTGGTTTAGGGTCGGTTCAGGGTCGGTTTAGGGTTGGTTTCGGGTCGGTTTAGGGTGTTTAGGGTTGGTTTAGGGTTACTTTAGGGTCGGTTTAGGGTCGGTTTAGGCTTGGTTTGGGGTTGGTTTAGGGTCGGTTTAGGGTGGGTTTAGGGTCGGGCTAGGGTTGGTTTAGGGTAGGTTCAGGGTTGCTTTAGGGTTGGTTTAGGGTTGGTTTAGGGTCGGTTTAGGGTCGGTTTAGGGTCGGTTTAGGCTTGGTTTAGGCTTGGTTTAGGGTCGGTTTAGGGTTGGTTAGGGTTGGTTTAGGGTTGGTTTAGGGTCGGTTTAGGGTCGGTTTAGGGTGGGATTAGGCTTGGTTTAGGGTTGGTTTAGGGGGTAGGGTTGGTTTGGGGTTGGTTTGGGTGGGTTTAGGCTCGGTTTAGGGTTGTTTTCGGGTCGGTTTAGGGTTGGTTTAGGGTTGGTTTAGGGTTACTTTAGGGTCGGTTTAGGGTCGGTTTAGGCTTGGTTTAGGCTTGGTTTAGGGTCAGTTTAGGGTGGGTTTAGGGTCGGTCTAGGGTTGGTTTAGGGTTGGTTTAGGGTTGGTTTAGGGTTGGTTTAGGGTTGGTTTAGGGTCGGTTTAGGGTTGGTTTAGGGTCGGTTTAGGGTTGGTTTACGGTTGGTTTAGGCTTGGTTTAGGGTTGGTTTGGAGTAGGTTTAGGGTTGGTTTAGGGTCGGTTTAGGCTTGGCTTGGGGTTGGTTTAGGCTTGGTTTAGGGTGGGTTTAGGGTGGGTTTAGGCTTGGTTTAGGGTCAGTTTAGGGTGGGTTTAGGGTCGGTCTAGGGTTGGTTTAGGGTCGGTTTAGGCTTGGTTTGGGGTCCGTCAAAACCCCCGTCAAACCCCCGTCAAAGCCTCCGTCAAAGCCCCGTCAAAACCTCCGTCAAAACCCCCGTCAAAACCCCCGTCAAAGCCTCCGTCAAAACCTCCGTCAAAACCTCCGTCAAAACCCCCGTCAAAACCTCCGTCAAAACCTCCGTCAAACCCCCGTCAAAACCTCCGTCAAAACCCCCGTCAAAACCCCCGTCAAAGCCTCCGTCAAAACCTCCGTCAAAACCTCCGTCAATCAAAACCCCCGTCAAAACTCCGTCAAATCCCCCATCAAAACCCCCGTCGAAACCTCCGTCAAAACTCCCGCCAAAACCTCCGTCAAAACCCCCGTCAAACCCCCGGCCAAACTTTACCTTTGTCCCCAGGGGGCAACTCTAGTTGTGGTGTGAAAGCCAGTTGGCAGTATCCGCTATAGTCTAGCTGGTTAGGATGCTTGGCTCTCACCCGAGGGGCTCGGGCTCAAGCCCCGGTGGCGGAATCTTGGCCTCACTGACAATGGCTGGTTGGTCATCTACTGGCAGGGAACGATCAGTTTCAACCCGGACGGCGTTTTGAGGGTTTTGACGGAGGTTTTGACGGAGGGTTTTGCAGCTGTGCGGCCCGGGCGGAACCTGCCCCAAAGAGCCGTTTTCGCAAGGTTGTGCCCCATGGGCGGAACCTGCCAAAAAGACCCGTTTTGGCAAGGTTGCGCCCACTGGGTTAAAAAAACTTCCGCTGTCAAAACCTCCGTCAAAAATCCCGTCAAAACACCCGTCAGAGCCTCCGCCACAGCACCCGTCAACACCCTCCGGCCAAACCTCCGTCAAAACCCCCGTCAAAACCTCCGTCAAAACCCCCGTCAAAACCCCCGTCAAAGCCTCCGTCAAACCCCCGTCAAAACCCCCGTCAAACCCCCGTCCAAACTTTACCTTTCTCCTCAGGGGGCAACTCTAGTTGTGGTGTGAAAGCCAGTTGGCAGTATCCGATATAGTCTAGCTGGTTAGGATGCTTGGCTCTCACCCGAGGGGCTCGGGCTCAAGCCCTGGTGGCGGAATCTTGGCCTCACTGACAATGAGCCCCGTCCAAACCCCCGTCAAAACCTCCGTCACAACCCCCGTCAACACCCCCGCTAAAACTCAGAGCCTTGCGCCAAAACCCCCGTCAGAGTCCCGTCCAACTCCCACCAAGACCTCCGTCAAAACACCTCAGCTTTGCTATGCCCCAGCTGGCAGGGAGAAAGTGTGCGATTGCAGGGTGGGGCGGTGTAGGATTGGCGTCTCATGTAGTTTGCGATTGTCGGTTGGGAGGAGTATTCGCTTGGACGGTCGAGTGTCTCTGATTGGGGGGTCACCCGTTTTGGCGCCTGCAGGGAATCCTTCTGCATACTTGTCGTTTTACGGCCATTCTGGAGAACTGACGAGGGTTGGGCCGTCATGCTCGTTTTGAACAACTTTTTCCGCATTTGAAAAGATAGCGGCAGACAAAAGATCCAATGTTTGTGTTTCTTCACTCGAGGCTCAGAACCCTTACTTCTCTTTCATCTTTTGGGCCGCAGCCTCGGGTCCGGCTCACGACTTGCCCAGACGATCATTTCCTTAGGTGACCTACACGCTGGTCATCACCTTCATGGCCCGGGACCCCGGAACCTTGGCCGGAGCCGTTGCTCTGCTTGGCGCGGAGGTGATGAACCTGGTGATTGCCGTCATCCTGGAAGGCTACGAGGAGCTTCATGGAGCACACGCATGTGCTGGAGTGGGAATCCCGCGCGCTGGAGTCAGGATGGCAAGGAGAGCCCGGCGTCGGAGGTGGTGGACGTGTGCGTCAAGGCAGTGACACATGCGGCCATTTGCATGTTTGCAGTCATGATTCTGGTCGCGCGAGGTTTCCACAAGTGTTGAGGTTGCATGCATGTATCAATTTTGGCACACAGTACCTTGAATAGCTTCAACTGACACAGTTTGCATGGTACGGACGTGGCAGTTGTGGCTGAAGCACGACCCTGACCATCGCATGCTCGACCCTTGGAGCGCTGCAACAAAGCTTCCCCCTCAAGGGAAGGAGCTGTTGGTCGACCTCTTCACGTTGGCTTTGCTGGGTGTAGGATTTGTATCATCTATCTCCATGCGGGACGCAGCAAACTCCAATTGCTGGCAAGACACAATAAGTTGGATCGGTGTTTGGACGAGCCTGGTAAGGTCTTTGCCCTTGGGTGAAGCTCTAAACTTCATCAACAAGGCACCGTTTCCCTTCCAGCCCTAGCATGTTTGGACGTGGGCGTTGCAGGCGTTGCGAGAAGTGGAGCGTCAGTGGGGGTCTAAGCGAGCAGCAAGCGCAACACCCGTCGGCCATTCTTGCGGCGCGAGGGAAGGCAGTCCACATACCTCGCCTGCAGCGGGTGTCCAGGGAGTGCAGGGCCTACAGGTGGGGAGGGAGTGCAGCTAAACATGATGTGAGGTTGTGCGCTTGTGGGTTGCAGCCTGGTGCGTGGAGTTTGTGAATGTTGTGAATGTTGGCTTTGGTGTGCATGTGATCAAAGATGCATGTCCTCGACTCCTGAGATTCAATGGAGCTCGTTGGATGTTTTTCTTTGAATGTGCAGCTCTTTGGATTCAATGTGCACCACCTCGACTCGTGTTTTTCTTGCTTCATGGCGCCAGCGATGCCCTTGCAGTCTTTGCCTATGAAGTACGTGGCAGCACTGGACGTCCAGGCGTTGGTTTGGTCACTGACTAATGGTAACCCCGGAATAAGCAGAACCCCTGGTTGATTTTGATTGGGGGGTGTCCAATTCCTTTTAGTGGGGATTCAGACCACTTTTGGAGGGACCACCCCCTAATAGTGGGACGGGTTTATTAATCCTGGGTCAACATTATTGCATTCGCAGAGTGTCTCATAGATTTGCCGCAGGTTGGTGAGAACGGACGTGTGCACTTCATCTCCGCGTGCAAGCAAGTCATGCGCTTCGTGTGCCTCGGAGATGATCTTGTTTGTCCGGCCTGCTTCTATCAATCTCCGATGTCATTGGCTGCGTCTCTGGCTACATCTCTGAGGGATGCAGTGCACGCCAGGCGAGCTTGGAGGATTTGGACACTGTTGAGGTGGGGAGGGAAGGCTCAGTTCTTGCTCCGGTCTTGCGTGTGGGTTTTTGACTGGGTCGTGGGTGGGTGGACAGACGGATGGACGGATGGACGGATCAATCATATGGATGTATGGTGCTGACTGGTTAGCTTGTGTCACACACACACACAAACAAATTCAATCACACAAGCAAATAAACAAATCGAGCAAGTAAACAGAGAAACAAAGAAACAACTAAACAAAGAGGAAAATATACAAGGAAACAAAGAGACAAAGGAACACACAAACAAAGAAACAAACAACACAAATAAACAAATAAACAAAGAAACCAAGAAGCAAAGAAACAAAGAAACAAACAACCGAACAAGCAACCGAACAAACAACCGAACAAACAACCGAACAAACAAGCGAACACACAAACGGACAACCAAACAAACAAACAAACAAACAAAAAACAGGCAAACAAGCAAACAAATAAACAAAGAACACATTAACGAACACACACACACACACATCAAATCACATCACATCACATCACATCACATCACACCACACCACACCACACCCCACACCACACCACACCACACCACACCACACCACACCACACCACACCACACCACACCACACCACACCACACCACACCACACCACACCACACCACACCACACCACACCACACACCACACCACACCACACCACACCACACCACACCACACACACACACACATCACACAAACAACACACACACACAGCAAGCGTTCTGTTAGCATAGGCTTCCTCAGGTGGCTTTGCACAGCTTAGTAGATCCTCATCGCTTCTAGTTTGGACAATTAAGCAAATACGGCTTGCCTAGTCTTGGATACACAGTGTGAGTACTCCATCATTGGAGACTCGCGAAGTGCCGTACTGCGAGACAGATACGGTTCCACCGTGCTGAACATAATGTAGGAAGCTTTTCTCCGGTGAAGGCAAAAAGCCAGAACACAACTCAGGATCCAAGCATATTTAGCCTCAGTCAACTTTGACCTTGATGAAAGTTCACGAAACTCTGTGGACCTGCATGAGCAACTTTTGGATGTGGGATTGCTATTGCATTGGAGCGTGCCTTGTGCCTGCCGTGCAAGGAGAAACTAGAGCAGAAGCAAAGAGACAAGCTGAGAAGGCAGGGACGGCAAGTTTGGAGACGTTTGCAGCTGCTGAATTCCGTCCCTTTTTGCCACGGCATGATGTATGGCATACCACGAATGAAACTTGTGCTCGTGGAAGGCTTGTGGAGAAAAGTGAGCTTCGGATTCAGAGCAAGCAAACGTGCAGCCCTTAGCGCCTTGTGGCAATAAGGCCCGCAACCTTGAATCGAGTCAATACGACCGACTTGAGCTGCAGGAGAGACGTATTGATGGAGGGTCTGAGCTTTGCCAGCCCGCGGCCTACCTTGAACTTACCATCGGGAAACCAGCGAGGCACTTCCGCATGTGGGACACACTTGCCTTTCAGGCGCCAAGTCCAAGGGCGGGAAGATGAGGGATCTGAAGGAGGAGGCAGGAGAGATGGGCGATGGCGCCATGGGGCATCTGGGAATTTCCACACCAGGTGGCCGCGCTGAAGCTCCAAACCGTCCGGGCCGTGCGAAGGGTGTAGCATGCTTTGGGGATGGGTCATTTGTTAGGAGGTCAATGGCAGCATTCTGAGGCAATGAAGCACGTCTTTGGCAAAGGGAAGAAGGCGCTTGGCTTGTTTGGCTGAGTGGGACTTTGCAAGCTGGATGAAGCTCCAAAGCACCAAGTCTAAGGAATCACAAGTTGTCTAAACCCAAAGTCAACGGGTTTTGGCTGCTGACATGGTATTGCATTGCTCCTCAAGCGATGGAGGCACAGCCGAAAGAAGATACTAAGGCTGCCAAGGCACGCTCTGGGGAACTGAGTTGAAGGTTTTCATGCTTCGCCTGCTTTTTGAGGCGCCTCAGGAAGAGGCCAAAGTTGCGCCTGAAGAAGAGGCCAAAGTTGCGCCTGAAGAAGAGGCCAAAGTTGAGACTGCACCTCAGTTTGCTTGATAATAAAGTCCTGTAGAGGTTCTCGAGGCTGAGCCAGTAGGATTTATAGATATTCAGTGCTTCCGCCACATGTTCAAGGCCTGGTGCATCTTCAGATGGACCCAAGGACAACCAGCAGTGGTTCGATTCCTGTTCCACCATTGGCGTGTTTTGGGTCAATGTGCAGGAGGCTTATGGCCCCTACTGCGGGGAGCCGTTGGAGGAGCCATCCAGCCGTTCCGTTGCTAGACTCTTCTCAACGATATCCTGAGTTTTTGGCCACCCTAGAAGCAGGCATGCTTGGATTCTGCTTTCGTGTTTTGGAGCAAAGATCAGGCACCGTGTTTTCGGCCGGTTTGCTGCGAGGACCCACACTGAGTCTTTGGGCACGTAGGCAGGGCCGAGTGAAACCAAGCTGCCTGAGCCGGTGCCGTTCTGGTTGTAAGGCTGCTGGAGCAAGTCGGAGGATGGCTGAGACACCGCCCAAACAGCACGCTACAACCCGTCACTGTGCAGCCAGTGACCAGAACTTGGCATGACTGGCCACAAACAGGTATCCACTCTTTTTCACAGTCCTTGTCAGATCATGTTAAGCAAGACAGACCGCAAGGTTTGCTTCCAATTGTAATGTAGCAATACCAACCACTGCTGCCGCCGACGTCCATTTCAAAGGAGCCGTGAGGCTCCTTGTGGACGATGTCAAGGAATGAGGTTGTAGGCTAGCTAGCTCAATTCCACAGGAGCTGATAAGCAGTTCAATTTGGAATTCATGAGTTTCACCGCGTCAGCAGATGCTTCCAGGTGTGAGGAGACCTCTCCTGGGTTGGAATCTTCTTGTGGAACTTTTGAGCCAACAAGCTTCTTAGGATCACAGCCTTGCTGACAACGTCGTGCCCACCGTTTCCACCATCCGTGAGTGATTCGAACTTTCAGAGAAAGCTCGAGTCACTTGTCAAATTTAATGCCCAGATCGCAAGCATGTCTTGCACCCTGCAAAGCAGGGGTACACATAAATGCCGTCCTGGTTTTCTGGCCACTGTAGCTGTTTGTTTGCTGCAGTGGCTGACAGGAGTTTCACAATCGGCAGGAGGAACAAGAGAAGCGTAGCCTGCATATCCAGTTTTCTTGATCGACCGGAGCTGCATGTAGTGGACGGCGGCAAACTACCACCAATGATTGTCTCCCCGAAACATTTGGGCAAAGTCATCGCGGCAAGCGTGACATGCCGGCAAGTGCAGCCGCTCAGTGCGGGTCTCCAAGTACCAGAAGTCTGGAAAGTACTTCCTGCTTCGCAGTTGTCCATGTTAACTGGTCGTTTTCAACTCGAAGCTACCACTTGGCCACTTGGGGGTCCTGCTTGGGGTATTCCGGTATTCCCGAGTCCTGCTGGCACATTGGCCCAGACGAGACCCTAGCGGCCATGAAGAGCACTTTCCAGGCGAGGTTCCAAAAAAATATATCTGTACCAACTAAACCCAGTCATCCAGACAGGTGCACTCCCACCATCGATGGAAGTGCACACACCCCCTTTCCAAGAGGAAAGTAGTCTTTCTATAGGGGTCTGTGCACAAATCCATGTTAGTCGGTGGGAGGGTACCGCGTCTCATGTCTTCTGCGGCGCTCATGTTCTCATTTTCTTGCTTCTTTTTTGTTTTTTTTGAGGGTTGTGTGTTCTCAAGTCTTTTTGTGGCGCTCGCGTTCTCGTTTTTTTGTGGTGTGAGGACCATGGCGCCTTCCAGGCTGCGAGGCCGCTTTACTCCGCCGGGGCCCTTTCCGCGAGCGCACTCGGATGCGAGCGCCGAGCGCGTGCGGCGCTGACCGCCTGAGGTCTGCCGCACGCGCTCCACGGTGCAGGTGCGCGTTGATGCGGGATGCGAATCAAAAAGGACAGCTTCTGCATCTACAGGGAAGATCGTCACTACTTCTTTCAGCAATTCAACCTTCAGAACATCGCTCAGTCTATTGAGATCTATCTGCATTTTCACTCTTTCTAATGAGCATTGAAGCTGAAAGAGGAAGTTTGGAGAGTATCGGAGCGGAGGGTAACGGATTTCCACCCTCTTGAGACTCAATCTTGTCCAGCCCCTGAACCCGACATATCCGAACTCAAACAATCCTAATTCTCATCATTTCCAAACGCAAAGTGCAACCTTGGAACAACTCACTAGTTCATTCGCTTGATCATTTCCTCCATCCGTATCTTTTCTCTGCGTCTCAAACGACTGTGGCGATGAAAAAGCAGCGAATCGGGCCTCAGGGAAGGGATTTGCAGCCTGTCTTGCAGCTCGATTTGAGATGGCCAGGTCTCTGATATGCCTGAGCTTGGCTTTGCAGAGCTCTGCGGAGGAGACCTAAAATCAGAGGGAGATTGAGCGCTGTAAGAACCTGGTGCATGTTGTCTCGGGGCACACTTCCGCGCTTGTCAATCCACTTTCTCTCATTAGAGATGCTCCCGCAGGACCCTACTACATCTTGTCTGTCATGCTGGATGTAAACAGCCTGTGGTGCTGCTGGCAAGTTTGCAACATCGAGTCAAGCTGCAAGCTGCAAGCCGCGAGCATGGATCGGGAATCGGGCTAGCTCGATGGACGCCACCTGCAAGCTGCCGGGGAGCCCAGGCTTTTTGCTGCGAAGCAGCGGGATCGTTCGGTGGCCTTGGTGGTTCATGCATTTCTGTGCTTGCAGCTGAATGAGGAGGCTTACAGGGGTTTGAGATCCAGCTCTTGTGAAGACGTATCTTGGCAACCACTGACACAGTACATGATGAGACATGATGAAGTGCACCACAAAGAGCTTGTCTGCGTGCTTTGAGTGGTTTCAAACGAACAAGGCATCCACAGATAGGCAGAGCGTGTCGTTCGGACAATGCCATGAGCCAAGAACAGCTCTGCGGCCGCAGTTGAACCGCCACTTTGCGGCTCCTTTGCCTGCATGAGCAATGGCCTACAAGGTGCGACACGGTGTGGGCGAAACCAGTCTTGCGTCCTGCAACCTATGGCCGCCTTAGCACACCCGGCAAGCTGGAGCAGACATTGGCATTGGGCTCCTTTGGCCTGCAACGGCTGCAGGGCGCAGCTCGGAGCCTCTCAACGAGAGAGAGCCCTGGTCTTAAGGGGTGAGCGTCGAGCAGAACAGCAGAACACGTTCGGGTCGTTGGAGATATCATATCAAGCATAGTTGTGAGCTCTGCCTTGCATTGGCCTGATCGGTCCACGGGAAGTGCCCTAATTGGGCCAAGGTCCCGCGAGGAAGCTACCTGCTGGAGGCAAGTGACACTCTGTCAGGCATACTTTGTGGAGAGATAAGCACACACACGGCTTCCTCATCTCGAGATGCCAGCTTGACACTATAACCCAAAGGCGAACCCTAAGTTACACCCTGAAGCTAACATGCTGCTTTGATGCTTCGTGTCAGGTCGCTGCTTTGCTGGTTCGGCTTCTTCATTCCAGCAGCCCGGCAAAATCTGGACATGCTGGGCAAGGGCTAGCCATGGTGAGTGGGAAGAGGCGGCCTTCATGACGTGTATTTTGTGATTCCCTGTCCGCACTGGATTCCTGCTGGCCAGCCTCTGAGCAACTCACAAACTCACGAGCGCAACAAGTTCAATTGATGAATGTGACCGAATCTGAAGCTTCTTGCTCGACACCCAATAAAAAACAAGTCAACAACCTCACCACGATTAGTAAAATGGATTCAGCTTCTGTTGCAGCGATTCTTCGCTTCTTGCTCGCCTGGACTGAGTTGCCCCCTTCTTGCGCCAGCCAATTCCCTGGCTTGTGTTGGCCTCCCAATGCAAGCTGCCAATCATGAGTCAGTGAGTGATTGAGTGAGTGAGTGAGTGAGTGTGAGTGAGAGTGAGAGTGAGTGAGTGAGTGAGTATGAGTGAGTGAGTGGGTGGGTGGGTGGGTGGGTGAGTGAGTGAGTGAGTGAGTCTTAGTGGAAAGGTGGATTTGGGTTTGGGTTGGCTTCGGGTTTGGGCCTTCTTAGTGGATGGGTTGCTCGCGTGCTGAGGTGGGCTTCGAGCTCTGGGTCCACCTGCTGCACGGCTTCGACCGCCAGGAGATCCTTGGGGAGGAGGATGCCCTTCCCAAGCAGCTGGCGCGGGGGTTCGGGTGTCCGCGGGGTTTCGGGACTGGCTAAGGGATTTTGTATTACACCTGGGAATACACCCACTGGATATTGACTCCATTTAGCGATATTTCCGGAAAAATCCGTGTAATTGTGAACCATTCTGGGTCATTTTCCACTCAGAGACTGGGTCAAAACGTGGGAGTTCTGCCGGAAATCGCTTTTCGGGCTGGGATGGTGATCTGGTGATCTTGGATTCAGTGTCGACCCGAACGGGATCGCAGGCCAAGATCCTATTTGACCTTTTGGGCATCCAAAGCACAAAGCGCCACCAAGATCGGATTTTGCAGTACGCCTCGTTTCATGTATGTCATCTGGATGTTGCGGTTTTCGGAACCTGGCATTCTGCGCAGTGTTTGGACGCAGCATTCTTCCAGCGGGTGAACCATCTCCCGATATTGCACTTCGAGCCACTGCATGGAGCCCCTCCCCCCTCCCCCCCCATGTGTTTCTATTTTACGCAAAAGTGGATTCTCTTGCCTGTTCCTCGCACCTTGTTTAGCCAACATGCTTTAACCGCTGTTGCTTCATGACAAGCTCCTTTTGGCTTCCTTTTTAGGGGCCAGGATCTGCCTGCTCAAGCAAGCTTTGCTCAACCACGATGCACCCGGTTGTTTCATCCAAGGCGCCCCGCAACTCTTCCGTGTTTGGCTCTTTTTTGATTCCCTGCATCTGCCCCCCCTGATCACTTTTCGGGCCATTTTGAAATGAGTTTTCTAGCGTGATGTTTGAAGGGGACATCTGAGGAGGCAAAACCCGTGACATGGGCGTGTCGGACATCTCGACCTCATAGATAGATGGTCATAGCTTCAGCAGTCCACGGGCTATGAGGAACCGGGGAATGTTGTGGCGTCTCAAAGTCCGGGGACTCTTGGCTCATTTTCCAATGCTCTTGGCTAAGCATTCGTTTTGACCATTGCTCACAAATTCCAAATGAAACAACAGGAAACCAACCATCTTTAGGGGTTCTGTTTTTGGCGAGTTGCCACAATTAATGTGGCCCCAGTCACTGACGAAACACTCACTGGCATGTCTGGCAGTTTGGCATTTGGGGTTCCTGTGTACATACATAGACATTTATACATAGAACCTAAAAATACAACAACCGCAGCCACGGGTTTCGGTTGTCACCGACCGCAACCGGCGCGAGCGCGGGTTCCTGGACTTCGCGGAGCTGATCTGCCGCGTGTGCCTGGGGCAAGTGCTGGTCTTCAGCGCCTGGCAGCTGGCCCGGGCCGTCTTCCACTGCAAGGCCAAGAGGGGTACCTCTGGTGAGGATAGAATAATTTTTGTATGCTGTATGTAATACATTATATATATATATATATATGTATTATATATATGTATATATATATATAGTATGTACACACACATATATATATATATATACACACATGTGCGACCCCTTCCAAAACCTACTAACCAGTGTTTTGAATCTGGAGAAGGGAGACTTTAAAGCCACGCCAAGGTACATGGAGCTCAAGATTCCCCAGATATGTCTTCAACATTTTGAATCTTGAGTCTCATTCACTTGTAGTAAGCGACTGGCAGCTCCAGCTAAAGAAAACGTAGCTTTTCAGTACAAGCACACGATCTCGTGCTTCATTTACTCTGTCATTTTGCAGTGAACATCAGCAAATTTCCCTTCTAAACTTCTATTTGACATTCACATGCATATCGATTATAAAGGTGCTCCTTGCTCAATTCCATTTGCATTCTAGTTCAACTATACCAAACTAATCTGTGGAAAGCAAGTCCCACACTGAAATTCAAATTTTGGAAGAATACCCAGAGTAGAATGCTTGTGCAAGTTCACAGCAAAGTAACTTGAAGCAATTGCATTTCCTAATGCGTTCCCAAAAAACTGGCGAGAACAATTGACATGGCAAGTTGAGTGAAATCAACTTCAATTTGAACAGGCTAATTGCCGTCTCATTCCATGACAGTTAACGAACTGAGCCAGGGCAACTGGAAAGTGCCTCAATCATAGGCCCGGAAAAGCGAAAACACACTTCTACCCCCATCGTGACTTTTTGTTTTTGTGTGTGTGTTGTTGGTGCTTGCGTGTTTGGTTCGCAATATCCGGAAGGAACCAAGCAATAAATCCAGAAATGCTACTTCTTGATGAGTAGGGCCAAATGCCAGACATGCTATTTGTTTTAGCTTGCTTTTTTAGTAAAGGGGGCACCATGCAGCTAAAACCTTCTTTGTACGCGTGTGTGTGTGTGTGTGTGTGTGTGTGTGTGTGTGTGTGTGTGTGTGTGTGTGTGTGTGTGTGTGTGTGTGTGTGTGTGTGTGTGTGTGTGTTTGTGTGCATGGGGGGTACCATATGTATGTATGTACATATATATACATATGTATATATATATATATGTGTCAGGCGTCATATGCAATTTCAAATATGTATATATATATATATATATATATATTCACACACACACACACACATGCCTGTAGCATTTGGGATCGAATGCTTGTGTTGGGCATTGAGTAAAGAAGCATGGGAGCTTTGGCAAGGTCTGGGTCACAGATGTTGCTTTCAGACATTTCCAGCACGTCGCGTGTGGCAATTTGTTTCTGGAACCCATCGGTTGCCCAGGTGGGCGTGCTCATGGGCCAAATCTGCGAGGCATCGCCGCTGGTGCGGCAGTGGCTGCCGGCTTTGCTCCTGACGCTCTTCACGCGGGGGCACCCGGAGAGTATCCCAAATCGCAAGGGCTGTCCGGTCGCCTGGTGATCATATACTTCCTGCACTTCGGCGGTTTCGCATTGGCTTTTTTCAAAGAAATGGAGTGGCTGGCCCAAGCTATGAACCCACTGAGTATCCAAGGCCAGGCAACGCCCAAGCTTCTTAGCCAACTCTACCAGAGGTGAGGGAGAGAGTGCCGTGGCCAACCCGCAAAGAGCTAGAAGATATGTATGACTCGTGGCCACATCAGCCAAAGTTGTGACTGCTGAACCACACAGTTTGTCATCATGGCATTAAGCACAAAGTAGGCATTGTTAGTTTGTGGCTGGTGTGGTTAGTTCTCCTGGTTTGAGCGTCTTACTTGGGTACACAAGCACACAGAGCTGGTTCTTCTGCTGCGTTAGAAACCACCGCGTCGCCGCCTTCAGACTGGACAGCCTGTCCTGCTGCGCTCTGCAAGCTCGCTTGTGACAATCTTGGTTGCTTAACACCAAGATGAAGTGGCTCCGCTGCAGGCTGCGGTGCGGCCACGTTGTTCCCCACATGGAACATCATTTGCTCTCGTAAATTCGCCTGGATAGGACGTGCTTAACTGTGACCACCTGCCTTCAGACGTTGATGCTTTTCGGAGGTAAGATCCAAGGCAAGCCGCACAGACGGACCCCAAACTGGACGGTATGCCCTAGCTGAGGTTCGGAGTGGGTGTGTGGGGCTGCTTTGTGGGTGATGAGGGCCTTCCTTTGTGGGCACTCCGCTACAGCCGGCCGCCTCAGTTGCCAAAAGTGCTTGCCATTCCTCATTTGGATGTTGGTCAAGTTAAACCACCAGGAATAGGGCCGCAGGTATGTGTCCATGTTTCGATTTACCAGGGCAGAGTTTCCAACTAGTTTTGACGACCACAGCCATTTGTCCTTGCGTCGCTTCCTGAGGCCACATTTGCGACATGTTCTGCCATGCCGTCGTGGCCTCCGCACTCATGGGATTAGGCGTCGGCTCGCAAGCTCGCACGAATTTCTTTGGGTTGACCAGCATCTCCACTTTCACGACACGCTTGATGCTCTTGTTGTGACTGGCGCTTCATGCTAGGCTTTGACCTGACCTCCGAAGCACACCAGGCCAGACAGCAGTGCGCCCATTCCCACAAGAACGGTATGAGTGATGGGTCCCATGGGAACACCTAGCCTGCTCAAAAGCCAAGTTGGGCAATGTCAACCGCACGCACCATTGCATTGCCCAGGGCCGGCTGCTTGACTTTTTGGTCAAGTTCTTCCTTTGTGCCGGGCTTAAGGGCCTGCCAGGTTTTGCCTTGGCCTGCGCACAGAATTGCTTTGGTCAGGTCTTGACACCATCGAGGGCCATGGCGTCCACAGCGAAGATGCGGAGCCGGAGTTTGGCTCCTTGGTTAAGGCAGCATGTTGGGGGCGTTAGCCTTAAGCAGCAGAACGAGAGTACTTTAGTATCATACATATATATATATATGTATGTATGTAATGTATGTATGTATGTATGTAATGTAATGTAATGTAATGTAATGTAATGTAATGCAATGTAATGTAATGTAATGTAATGTAATGTAATGTAATGTAATGTAATGTAATGTAATGTAATGTAATGTAATGTAATGTAATGTAATGTAATGTAATGTAATGTATGTATGTATGTATGTATGTATGTCGTGTTTTTGTTGTTGGGGGGAGCTACCATATTATATATATACATTGTACATATATGCGTTTTAATTTGCCTCCAACGCTTTTTTTGAGGAAAGGGGGTGCGATTCAATTGCTACACAAAACTTCCGATGTGTCTACGATTGTTCAAGGCGCTCTTGGAGCGCCGTTGCGGCGATTTGCCTAAAAAGCATGACGCTCGAACTACTTTGCGAGTATTTGTGACTTTATGCGATTACGTCGCGGATATGTCGCGATGTATGTGCCACGAATCTACGATGAATTTGCGAATGAATTACGAATTGTGTACGTATGTTTTACTTTTAGTCGCTTTCCATGCGGAAGGACAACCCAAAAAGGATAACAACCTGCAAAACATAAGCTTTCTGCAACAAGCTGTAGCAAAGCAATTCCCCACAGTAGGCTCCTACAGAGTTTGACATGTCTTGACGGCGCCTAAGTGTCCAAGGATGTGCATGACTTAGCCTCAAGATGGAACACGCCTCTAAACATGTACAGGTATTGTCGCATCCAGGCTGGCGCACATGTCTATCTCAGCAATCAGTCATGGCAGCAAACACCTCCATCCAGCGTTCATATTCTTCGGAATTGCAGTAGGGACGGTACAAGCAATCAGGCGACATTCCCTTCATGCCTTCGGAACCCCGGAACTTATCACCTGTGCTTGGAACTTCGAACTCTTTGTCCTGTAGAAGGCAAGTCACAGTGGTACTGTTACTCCACGATGCATTATGGAGGGTCTCTGTTCTCAGTGCGGAAAGCAGAACGTCACGGAATGTGGGGCGGGGTCCAGCTTGCAGCTGGAG